AAAAAAAACAAAACCAAGTAGCCTATGTGTTCTTCCAGACTATCCTCTACATGTATGCCATATTTCATTGAGATTCGTTCTGCAGTTTAGGCTACAAACTCTAACAAACATCGGATGGATCCATTCATCTAAACTTTTACATTTAAAATATTAGTAAGTAAGTAAGTATAATATTAGTAAGATTATAGTCGACGTTGTTAGTTACTATGACTTAAATTAAGTGTATCATTGTTGCTTTAATTCCACTTTCTAATACAACTAGGTTGAATGTGGTTAAACAAACGGGCAAATGGTAACCGCAACATAAGAAATATCTTAGAAAACTATTCCTTATTACAAATTATTATTAATTGACATGTGCTTTCTCGGCGCGGCATTAAAAAAAAAACGTGTTCTGTGTCAATAAAATTAATGGAAGTTCATAGTTAGATTACAAACAAATGAGGAGTGATATTTGACTATTTTATGGGTTGTCCATACTAGGAGGTGTAAACATGCGTGGGGATCAAAAGTGGCCGCCGCAGTCGGTGAAGGAGGCCGTCGCGGCTGAGAACGAGGCGAGAATGATGCTGGCCAAGGGACCAGCGTGCAGACCGCGCAAGGTAACCTTCACAGATTATATTGGACAGATAACTCATACAAACATCCATTACATTCTTTTCTCTGTACATTGCCGGATCATACATTCCATTATTCCATATATCGCTTTAAAGTAACATCGTTTTTTCCCGCTGAAACTCAATTTACGAGTAAATCAATGTCTGGTAAATCAGTACCGCTTTCTATCCACAACATTAGCTACAATCTATAGTTAGACTCTTTCAAAAAGTAATGTTTTTTTGATGCAAAGGTCCAAAAATCACATCTAGTTTTCTTATGGCGAAATTAAAGTCATAACACAAATACACTACAGGCCTCAAACATGAATAACCAGCCCCCATTCTCCATCCTGAGTGCAATCGTTGTCTGTTTTAGCCGCGGCAATATTCGCTTGCTGAATTAATTGCCATGAGGGAGGTGTAAGTCCGCCCTACCGACTCGTTCGGTTCGGGTCGGACTTGTTTTACTCGATTTGTAAGTGAAGCTTCATCGGACATAGTGTGACACAATCTCTTCCATTAACTTATTTAAAATTGTACTTTGATGGCATGTGTTACTGGAGATAGCCTTACATGCACAAATATAAGTAAAATTTTCTTTTACTCCTAGCATAGTCAGGTCAAAAAAGAAGTGCACAAGATATCGCTGCAATTTCGTTTTTTTGTTTACTGCCATTTTAAAACTTACATTTATTTCGGATCTTCTACAGACAAACAAATGCAAAAGCAGTTCCGTATAGGATGCAAAATAATGCTCGTCTTATGAATCAATCATTTTAAAAATCATGTTTTGTATACATAGTACTTTTGGCATAAAAAAATACGGGTACCTTCAGTAATACATGTCTTTAGGATTAAAGTCAACGGTACACGATTAGTACTCTATGTAGTAGCAACCACCTAACGCGTTTAGATTAGGCTTAGCTCAATTCTAGTACCATGACATCACGTAATTGACTAAATTACATCCGTGTACGTAAAAGTGTCACCTATTTCTCTCTACTAGCTTCGCTGTGGAAGGCTTGATTGTGCGTTGTAGAGCTGTAGTACTGTCCTAGTAAATGTAATGGTATTGTTATATGACAAGCTAATTCGAATCTTATGTTACCTGCAGGTAAACAAGGACTACTCTGGCTTCTTCGCGAAGCACGCTCTCAGCCACAACTACCCTGGGTACCGCGCGCCCCCTGGCACCCAACACTTCGAGGACCATTCTGGCCGATCTTCGTACTAAATTAAGATCTTAGTCTTTAACGATAGAGTCACCTGATTTCACTCAATAGATTCGACTTTAAACATCACGAATTATATCAATATTCCAAAAAAACGTTTTCTATAGCTTCATTTGTAATTCCGATGCACCTAAGTGTCTTTAAAATGTAAGGGGTAAGTGCTCGGATTTTATCAGTACGGATTCAGCATAGTATATCACATAAATCTAGATGTCAGGGTAGGGGACGCCAGAGTAAGTACTTGTGTAGACTTTAGTCGATAAAGTCTAAGCTTCAAACTAAGTACTTAAAAACAAAATTAAGCACTGATGTGATAAACATCTTGGTAACAAACCATTCTTAGCGACACATAGTTTGTTAGGAAGACGGGTTACTACATTTTTTTAATATTTTCGAACGCATAATATCAAAGTACAAAGATACAAATGTAATCAGTGCTTAATTTTAACATTAATTATTTACACAATATTCATTATGTAGTTTGTAAGTATTATAATTTAATAATTTAAAAAAAATATATAAAAAATCATGCTTTAAACCTTTACGAAATCATTAATTTATGTTGAATACGCATTATTTAAGCTTAATTTCGATTATAAATAAAAGGCTTTTATCGCTTTTAACGGTATTTGTATGTAAATAAAGCTCAATTGCTGTGCTTTTGAATAAAAGCGAACAAAATCTTGTAAACAACCAAAGCATTATTAACAATTATTGTGACAAAAAATTTTAATTGTAACTATTGGCTAAGCTTAAAAGTAAATATAAACCTAGTCATGAAGAGATCACTTATATTTTGTATATAAAATGTTAATTTTTATATTTCATTGTGTTATATTCTAATGAAATAAAAATTTCTATAAACTAAATGAAACTTTTATTTAATACAAAGTTCATTCAAGCCATAATTTAGAAAATAATCCTTAGATAATAGTTATTATGCTCGTCTTCTATCAGCGGGTATTTAGCGAACATATTTGAAGACAGGATTATATCGCCACGACCTGTAATTGTAGAAACATAGCCATCTGTGGATAGTAATAGGGGCTAATGGGACAGCGATATCAAGATGGGAAGACGCAGCAATAGCCTAGCTAACGGCGACTTCAAACCTGTTTCTTATTTGTGTTTGTATGTTATCAAGATATAGCTTAGAATGTTAGGTTAACGATCTAACTGGAAAGATAACGAATGTAAATTGTGTTTTCTACATCTAAGAACAAAGTCTAGATTTTTATGAGATATCCGGTGTTCAGCAATCCGGCCAACGAGTTACCTAGTAACCTGATACGACGAGAGCACAATTTTATTACACCTTTTTAATATACCTGGTATTTCATCCGCATTGCCATACAACTGGCTTAATGTGGACATTAACTGGCGTCAGTGCGCCCATACAGATCAGGCATGTGCAACTGTCTAGCTGTACTCGCCAAATATACACCAGGCGTTATATTATATCTGTCAGATATGTGGAAAAAGTATAAATTCAGTTGTAATACGTAAGCAATCCTCTGTAAACATCTCAAAGACGTCATCGTTTGTTCACGATATTTCTTTCGCCTTGGCATTGAGCCAGAATAGAATTGTTATTTATAAGAATAGTTATCGCACCTGTCATCTTTTCTAATTTCAACGTATTGACCCTCGAAGTTCTCTGCGGGAAGTTTGAAATCTATTTTGAACAAGCTTTAAAAACTTTACTACTCCAGTACGCAAGGGTGTTTTTCAACAGTTCATAAATTATTACAAAATGTAGAACATAAGATGTTGTGATCAAAAAATAAATTGAAAATTCAATATAACTATTTGCGAAATCTTATACAAGTAGAGTCAATCACACGTAAGATGTCATTTTCATAGAAACTAGAGAAAAAGGTGCAAATACTTTGCTGTAAATGCTGTACCATATTACGGTAACATTTTAATCGAATAAAAAAAACATTTTTTTACAAAAATATTTTAATTTACATAACGTCGCGTACAAACCACACCAGAGCTCGGAGTCGGGTGCACGTATAAATGCTTTACAATTAGATTGCGCGAACACCTATGACTAAACTATCGCACAACTGAGGTGCGATTGTCGATTGTTTCCCCAATTCAACTGTTTAGTTGCACAACTAAAAATCGAGTATTGTGCGCACCTCCATATAACCTCATAGGAATCAAAGTGAGACTAAACAGTTATGCGATAGTTTAATCAAAGGTTTTCGCGCGCTTTACAACAGACAACTAGCAATGCTACGCGGTGTTTGTACATATAGAACTCCTATAAAAATATCGACCCAACAACGAAAAGAGTTACATCTTAAAAAATCTCATAAGATATGTAACTCTTTTCGTAGTGTGTCGATATTTGCATTGTCAAGCTCACCTGAAGCGGGAGGGCCATGGTATCACAGAGTAACTACACACAGACACGACAATGGCTATATCACTAAGAGGAACAATGTTATTTCTCTGGGTATACTCAGGGTACATTGTCTAGGCACTATTTCACACTTATTTTATTGGAAACCGAGCATAAGGGACTGACGACTTGAGCAATATTAAGCAATACGTTTTAAAAAAATATTAGTGATGTTTTATCATAACTAAACCCTTCTTATATTGATCTGTTTCAAGATTTAATAAAATCATTTCAATATCATATGTTTAAATTTTTTATATAATTTAAACATTTTGTAATTCTTGTATCGATAACGTATAATATTTTAAAAAAATGTACAATGCATCCGCAAATCAAATGTTATAAAGTATGAATTAACAATGTTAATAAAATTTTATACTTTGTCGTCAAATATACAAGTTTTACTAAAAAAGCCTCAATTCCACTACTCATTCGTGTCATTTCTCGCTTAAATGTTGATATCAATAAATGCAGATTATAAAAAATAGAAGAAAATAATATTAATTACATTATAAAAATATCTTTAACATTCTATACACAACAAACAACAATGAAAAATTCTGATTATGAATTAAAATGTTTGAACAATCATTTAAAATTACTTTTATTATGATTATATAATGGCTGTCTAATTATTTTTAAAATAATATCGTTTTATTTAATTAAATATTTATATTCCAAACAAATGATTAAACACTATAGTACAATGAAATAAGAAAGTCAAAAAAACCAGTTTTCTCGGAACAGATTGCATATTTTTTTAAATATAAAATATATTGTTGCATAAAGTGTAGGAATAAGTGAATGTGGTATGTATGTGTATTATTTAATTATTAAATTACACTTCAAAAAACATTCATACGCTCCTTTTTATTATTTTAACAAAATAAAATAACCCAAAGCATAGAAAATAAAGACCGCGAAGATATCTGTCCCGGTGGGCGGAAATCAAACTAAATTATATCAGCTCACTAGCGCCAACCTTTTATGCTAGTTTCTTTGTTTTTGCAAGTTTCAGTTATTTTCCGTCATAACTAAGCGATAGTAGCGCCACTCACCGAGCTGAATATTCTTGTGGTCAAAGGAATATTTTTTTAACAAAATTATGATATAAAATGTAATAGATGAAGATGAATAAATTCATAAAAGTTCTACTAAATTTTTATACCATTTTTAATAGTTCGGAATATTTAAAAACAATGCCAAACGTTATAGGCCTTCAATTACAAGTATTTTTCAGTATTAATTTTAACTGAGTGAACAAAAATACATACTCTAAACTACTGTTATGTTATTGTCTTATAATATTTTATACACTAACAGCCAAATAAACGCGGTATAAAGTTAATAGGAATAAACTGAGTATAAGCCAATATTAGTACAATTAACTTATACTCAGTTTATTCCTAAGTTTAACTTTATACCGAATTTATTTGTAAGGCTGCAGAGGGTTTCACTGTCGCTTATTTGTGACATGATAGCTAACATTTAAATTGTGTTTTTTGTCGCTAACATACAAAACATAAAACAAACAGTAACCGTTTGTTCATTATTATTTTTAATTTTCGAGGGATGTTCTTTTAGAATTAAAGAATTTAAAATCAATAATTATTGCTTGCGAATACAAATAAAATTGTTCCTGCTTTCGTTAGGGCCAAAATTGGATCAAGACTACGTATCTTTTTATGCACTTTTAAATTATTACCTCACTAAAGTTGAAACAATTTAACTATAAAATCACGCAACGTGTTAAAACAAGTTAAATATTCATACAAATTGATATATTTTATGTTGTAACAAAATTTAGAAAACAATTACACTGGTACCTTTTCTTAATTCAATGTTCTTTGATCTGACAAACTTAACTACAATAACAAACATCACAATAGTTATAAATTCTCAAAAAAATATTAATGGTAACAAAAGCTGATTTATTTTGAATGCATCCATCATCCTATAGGTGCAAGTCTATGGGTGCGTTCATAGTTTGAAAAATAATTTAGAATTTACCTAAAAAGTTTATTAAATAACACTTTTTAAAAGAGCTTTCGTGCACTGAGGATGTCCTCAGTAACACTTGTCAACATTTACTACGTAAAGAATCAAAAATAGTATTGGAGAGCGTAAAGTCACCTCTGTTGTTAATTTAGCGATCAAACACGGTGAAAAATTCAGTTTCTTTAACCAAGTTTGAATGAAATTTTAAACTGAAGATACGTTCGATAAAAATGGAAAAGAAATTCAAAATAACCTATGTACCGGGACCTAAAGTTTCCCCTTCCTACCATTTTATTATAAGTAAAATATGGGAGGGGAAGTGGATTCGACTGTGAAGACGTAGAAAGAGGAAATATCTCATTCCTTTTTCTATCTCTTTCTTACTTCGATAAAAAGTAGGCAACGCATTCACTTTTGCCGATATATAAATATTTCAGCGAATTGTCTCTATTGCTGGTTTTCCACTTGATATAAAATATAAATCAAACAGAGAAAACAAGAGAAGAGAAAGTCTAATTTCCAAGCCAAAATGTTGAAAACCTATTAAATTCAACATGTAAACTTGTATTTTTGATTCAATGCGTGTAATAAGATAATAGAATAACTAGATCCGTTATCGTAGCGTTCAGACGAGGGAGAAGCCCTGCGTCTGCTGGATGGCCTGCAGCAGGTAGTACTTGAGGCGCTCCTTGGTGTTGTAGCGCGGCAGGTCCAGCAGGTTGAAGCAGGTGTGCGCCACCGGGTAGAACCGCTCGTCCGCCACTGGCTGGATCCTTATCTGGTATAAATATGTTTAATGTTATGTTTCTAACTTAACAATATAAAACAATCATATTTAATATTATAAATGTGAAAGTTTAGATGGATGAATGTTTGTCAGAGTTTGTAGTCTGAACGGCTGAACGGTTCTGGATGAAATTTGGCATAGATGTACAGAATATGGAAGAATACATAGGCTACTTACTTTTTTTTTTAATACCACGCGAACGGAATCGCGGGCGAAAGCTAGTAATCATATAAATATTATAAATGCGAAAGTTACGATAGATGGATGTTTGTTGGAGTTTGTAGCCTAAACTGATGAACGGATTTTACTGAAATTTGACATAGATGTAGAGGATAGTCTGGAAGAACACATAGGGTACTTTTTTTTTAATAACATAACATAACGCGGACGGAGTCGCAGGCGAAAGCTAGTAACAGTATAAATTAACATTAAAATATTTTGGACATGATGTTTAAACGACATATCGATGTTATACGTCCTTTAAGATTAACAATTTTTCATTAAATTAGTCACTTAAATGTAGTTTTCTTTAGTTTTTATGATACATCAAATGGTATATTGTAAGTATACCAACTTACTTTAATATCTCTCATTCCCTGTATGGGGACGCGGTCGCTGCCTGTCAGGAACAGAAGGAATTTCTTCTTGTCCTCCAGAGACAGCTCATGGAACACCTCCCAGAACCATCTAAAAAACATTTAAGAAATAATTATCAATACCGTCTATTTCTATTCCAACCGATAATAATACCAAGCAAAACAGTTTTCTTAGTGCAAACATTAAATGAAGGATTATCATTAGGTTAATTGAAAAAAATTCAACAATCCGTTTACCTGATCTGTGGGTCGGTAGAAGTGTAACCATTTTTATATTCGCAATTGTTCTCAAACATCTCCCAGTCGTACTCCTCGTTGCCGATCACCACAGACATCAGCTCGTAAGACCTGAACAACTTTATTATCCTGCCTCCGCACACCTGCAGAAACAATTTATTATGTAATTAAACCACTCGCTCTAACAGCGCAAGAATTAATTTAAAAATATTGAAATCATTTATCAAAGTAAAAACTGTTGTATATTTTGCTTTTGATGTTAATTCTCATAATGAAAAAAAAATTAATTAAAACGAATTTCGAAGTTTAACCAATTTAAATATTGTACAGTCGCTTCACATATTTACAAAACTTTAGACACTTATTATTCTGTGAAAAATAAAACCTCTTTGGCTGACAAGTGTGAATACAGCCAAAGAGGTTGCATACTGGCCCCCGAAACATTGCATGGTTTAACTATTAAAAAGATATAGGAGGAAAAGAAGCGTACAAGATCGCGATACAGTTTTGTTAAATGATTATGTAAATATGTAAATAAGTTTCATAAAGTTTTGTCTTTCTGGCTGCCGCTCTGTTGATAACAAGTTAAACACTTATGCCTTTGTTTAATATATCTCTCTCTAGCGGTTTAGGCAGCGTAAGCCGAGAAAACCTAAAGTTTAGTGAATTTTTAACGCCGGCGTCCAGGAACTCGCTGTTTATTAATAGTTTCTAAACATTTCTAATAGTAAAATATAGCCTATGTTACTCACAGATAAATTACCTTTCTGGTGGTGAAAGAATTTTTAAAATCGGCTCAGTAGTTTTTGAGTTATTTCAATACATACAAAAATACAAATCTTTCCTCTTTATAGTACTAGTATGGATAAAAGGAACGTATAACGAAATCGAACCTTCTGGAATCCCTGATCGAAGGCCTTGAACTGGTTGAGCACGGACTTGTTGAGCAGGAAGTCCACGTACAGCTCCACGTACTCCTGCTTGTTGAGGTGCGTCACGGGGATGTTCTCGCCGTCCTCCTTCAGCGTGTGCACCTGGATCTCGTCGAACACTACCGTGTTCACCGCGAAACACAAACTAAACACCTGAAATTATCAAATTTTATACAAATGAGACTCCGTTGGCAAGGAATTTAAAAAATAACTATTTTCTGCCAGTTTATGTTATACATTTGTACCAAATATCATTTAAATAAGCCATTATGGAGATACCTTCTAATAAACATCCATCCCATCCATCCAATCTTTCACATTTTGCATTAGGAAGAAGTAAGAGTAAATCTCCACAGACCTTATTCTAAATAAAGACTGAATTTTTAACCAAAGACAAACTTTACACACTAAGGGCCTGTCCCCAATTGTAAATTGTCTGACCACAATCTAACGTTCCAAATAGTGATAGAAATATCGGATTTTGTTTTCTTATCTGACAGTGACGTCATTAAGCTATCTGAGCCTCTATCAGCCAGTGATGGGACAGGCCCTTTAACTAGTAATTCATTAGTAAAAGTTCTTTTACTGAAAACAATTTCTATCCATATTATGCAATATCAACAACTTATCTATATATCATTTTTTTATAAAGTAACGTGTAATAACTATTGAAAAAAATCACTGTATAGCTTTAAATTGAAATGAGGTATGTTTTATTACATTTGCTATGACTGATGTTATTTGTTTTTAAATGTAGTTAAGAAATCATACAAACCTCCTCAACATCTTCATCGGGATATTCCAACAAACTCTTCAGACTGTTGGCCAACGTTGGATACAAATCTGACAGATCGTCCAACATAACAGACTCCCCGAGCAGTTTCTTGTACAACACCAACGGAAACGGAACATATATAATTATAGAATTATATATAGCTAGACCATATATTGCACCTGGAACATAAATCACTATGTAAAACCAACAACTATCTTACTAAATTAATGCAAAAATTGCAAAGAAGATGGATGTTTGTTAGGAAAGTATCTTAGGAATGTATGTATCTCTTTATCACATTACTAGCTTTTGCCGGCGACTGCATCCGCGTAAATTAAAAAAAAAAACAAGAGTGAGTAACCTATGTGTTCTTCCAAACTATTTACTACATTTATGCCTATTTTTATCCAGATCCGTTTATCCGTTTAGGCTACAAACTCTAACATCCATCCATCCGTGTAAACTGTAACATTTACAATATTAGTATGACTAGCTATTGCCCTAACATTAACAGCTATATGACTGTCAGTGGGGAATTAAACAAAAAAACTAAAGTTTACCAATATGTTCTTCCAGACTATGTCTGTATGCCATATTTAATCGAGATTCATTCAAACATTTAAGAGATACCTTCTAAGAAACATAAAGATTTATAAAATAAGTAAGAAGTATGATTTGATTGATCGAGATATTTCTAATCCGTTATCCAAGCTACTAAGATATCTTACAAATATTATATATGCGAAAGTTTAGGACTTAGTCTAGTCTAGGACCTAGATCTCTAGGTGAAATTTGGCATATACGTTGAGCAAAGTCGAGAAGAATACATTGGATACTTACTTTTGTTTTTTTTAATTCCACGCGGACGAAGTCGGGGGCGAAAGCTAGTATTACTAAAGTATAGGATGAAACTCACCAATCAAGTAGTACATGACGTCATCTTCGAAGGGGTTGTTGGAGAACCAGATCATGTTGGTCTCCTCGGACTGCTTGAACATGCCGTACACGGGGTCGAAGATCTCCTTCAGCAGCAGCATGAAGAACTCCTTGCGCACGCCGCCCGCGTCCTCCGCCTCCTCGCCCACGAACTCTACCTGATACAATATATTATTTGATATCCTTCCTTATTGCTGAGAAATCTACTATAGACATTTTGTAATCATGCGCGTTTCTTCCAAAGAAAATATTTATGTTTTCAGTCCACGCTTTATATGTTACAAAATAAATTAGACATACCATACTAGTTTTAAAGAGTATTGAAATTGGTTTTAATTTACTTATACTAATATTAGAAAGATGAAAGATTTGTATTTTTGTATGACTTGCAATAACTCAAAACTGGGCCGATTTTTTTAATTCTGTTTAATTTTAATTTCACGCGGACCAAGTCGCGAGCAACAGCTAGTATTATATAAAACTTTGACGACAAAATTAAGAATAACAAAATATCAATACATACTCTAAGCGGTTTCTTGAGCTGTGAGGTATCATGGCTGCTGATCTGCATCATCGTGTCCCGCACCAGGTGGTTCCTGGAAACCGTGAGGTTAAGAAACTGGTTCCTCTGGTACTCGAAGGTGGGGTCGAAGAACAGCCGGGTCAGGATCTGCGTGGCCGCGCGGCTGATGGCCATCTGCATCTGCACTTGCTGGTCGATCTTCAGCAGCAACGACTTGCACTGCACGTCGAATAGGAACGCGTAGTTGCACATATGCGGTTGTGATGACTGCAAAACAATATTATTACGTGAAAACTAAACCATTAAATATCTTTAAAATTTATTTAATTTAAAGTTTAAATGGATGGATTGGATATTCGTTAATGTGTGTAGTCTAAATGCTAAACGAATCTTGATTAAATTTGGCATAGATGTAGACGATACTTAATTTTGTTTTTTTTTTACTCACGCAGCATCGCGGGTGAAAGCTAGTAAAAAAATTAACAATAATGTTTCTCCTATGCATGTTAAAAAAAAGCACTAATTAGACTAAGGCGACGAGCTCTAAAACAACATTTCTAATATAAATTCATATAATATAATAAAAAAATCAATAATGGTCTTAATACCATTCTATATAACCCAAATCCATATTAAAATTATTATTTTGTACTCACGTCCTGGTCAGCCAGCCAATGTATGTAGTCCGTCGCAATATCCACATGGTCGCACAGATCTTCTATATAAAAACATTCCGCTGGAATTTTAGGTTTCTTCGGATTTGCGAAATTAATTTTGTTCAAAAACGATAATGCATTCAAGATCTGCACTATACTGTGTGTGAAGGATAACCTCTGAAAATTATAATTATTTTTTTAAACTATAGATAAAGCTCTGAACTAGTACCTAGGTATTAGTCTATTTTATCTATGGCTATGATTTAATTTATAATGAATTCATTCAGATAGTATAATAATTTAATAGTATAGAATTCTTAACCCTTAAATGCATAATTTTTCTCTTGTTAAATACCATACATTGAAATGGTTAGTAAATTGAACATAAATTTAGGGAAAATAAAGAAAAAATGTTTTTTTTTTTAAATAGTCTATTATGTAAGGAAGAAAAGACTGAGGTATAAATGCGTCATCATGGATTTAAGTGTTAAATTTTCTTCAAAATTGACTGTACTGAACCCAAAACCTAGTTTTTAAAGATACCATAGCATAAATAGGCTCAAAAGTATGTGATTTTAATCTTTTTTTCGTCATAGTATACATTATCTTTTATCTTAAATACAATCAGAGATGTAATTTTTAGGACTTTGTTTAAGTCCTTGGATTTATTTCCAATTATAATATAAAATATCCTGCATCATCATAATACGATAAATTACTTAACCTTATCAATTTAAAGTGATATGCTTATCATTTTTTATTAAAGATAACCTTCATCTTACCTTATTTGTCCGCACGACTGTATGTAATTCGTATACAATAACACTTTTAAATATATCCACAAGCATTTCAAAGTAATCAGTGTTCTGTGCCTCCCACCACATTTGAACAATCTTTTGTGGATAGGTCGCTAATTTGTTGAACGCTTCTGCAAATGGACCCTGCAAAATACAAAAATACATATAAAAACAATGGTTTATTCATATTTACTTGACTAATTACTTCATTATATCGTTTAACGTTACAAGTTAGCGATATAAAATATCTCACAGAGAAAAATCTTACTAATATTATAAATGCGAAGGTTTATATGGATGGATGTTAGATTTTGTAGCCTAAACGGCTGATCGTATATCTATGAAATTTGGAAACATAGATGTAGAGGATAGTCTGGTAGAACACATAGGCTACTTGCTCTTTTTTTAATCCACGCGGATGAAGTCGCGGGCGAAAACTAGCATATTTAGGAAGGTTTTACTACTTCTTTAATAAATATTCAAAGATAGCGTAATACCTGTAATTCAGGATGGCGACGTGGGTTCCTCATCTCATGGTATAAAGGTAATATTAAGAACACTCGCAGTACTTCCGCATCCGGAGGAGATGCCTTCATTTTCTTTATTATATTCTCTGTTAAGTGAGTAAAAATCTGAAAATAAAATGTTTTAATGGAATTAACAGAATTTTATTAATACTTATAAATCTTATTATATCTATTTTTTTTTCTTTAACTTAAGATTACCATATATATCTATACAAATGTTATAGAGGAAAGAAATATTTTTGGATTTCTGTATATATTGAAATAACTCAATAACTACTAGGCCCATTTTAAAAATTCTTTCACCATTAAAAAGCTACCTTTACACTAAGTAAGATAGCCTATGTTTTTATTACTTTTTAATTTAATGTAGACGACGTTCCGAGCAACAGCTCCTTAATATACTTACAAGATTTTTAATAGATGTGTTTTCAAATCTGCTTATAAGTGTGAACGCCTCCTCCGCACGCTTCAAGTCGACGCCGGGCAGCTTCGTGCCGCAGCCGAAGTGCGCGCCGCCCGTCTGCAGGAACGACGCGTTCATACACGCCGGCGACCCGAACACCGTCTCTAAATACGCCATCAAATCCTGAAAATACATTAAAATAACACTTTATACTGTACATCTACTATTATTTTTAAAAAAATACTAAAAACCAAATTAATTTACAGTCGAATTCAAAACAAATTAGAAATTAAATTATTTTTACGCATCTACGCACTGGCTGATACTTATTTATTGTTTTTGTAATTATTTTGAATTGGTTATTAAAATTGTTGATAAAAACATGTCTATTTTTAATAAATCTATGGTTACGAAGGTAAAATTGGATAGGTTTGTTAAAGTTTCACACAGTAAAATTCGCTTATACAGCTAAAAGCGAAACGACCGCGATATTTTTCTCTCTTATAGAGGTTGCTCCATAATTTGAGTTTCTTTTCACTTCTCGAGGTTACTTATCCAGATTCGATTGAACATTATCTGTCTCTTTCTATACTGGATTCTAAATTTAAAATTAATATAACGTCCTTTATAAAGAGCAATAAAGTCACTTACTTGATTAACAGTGTCGTCATCTTTGAACATTTCACAAGCAGCCAGCCTCGGCAGTGTCAGTGTTAGGATCTGTTTCTTAGCGTCAGGTATTCTAAAGTCGGATAGAGTTTTATCGTTGCTCATTATAAGGAAACTGTGGTCGCCGCCAGCAAACACTTTTATTGGACCGCTGAATATATCCGATATAAACTGTAGACAAAGAAATACAACAAATGGATACATTGTACATAATACATTATAGACAAATACAAACATATAATATATTACTGTAAAACTAAATATAATACATACATTTATATATTCGAATGAATTCTAGCGCATGCTTATCTAATTTACTTAAACCCAATTTTCAAATAACCTACATTTAACGTATACATACGCTAATGTGTTGATTAACTAAGAAATTCGCATAATTTTAAAAAGCGAATTTCAAAAATGATTTCAATTTAGCCTGTCTTTTAACTTAGGGCATACAATTAGAAGAAAAAAACTTATAATACGCAAGCATTAACAAATTTTACTTATATTATTTACGTAATAAATGTATTTTAAAAATGGAATGTAACTCAACGTCAAGTTTAGAGAACCGCCCGCTGCCTTTGCTAGAACTCCTAGCCTTGTCCACCTTGGATTTCTTCCTCGGCTATGGAAAGTATACCAATCCGTTAGTAACCATTTTTATATATATTAAATCCCAACGGAATATTAAATAGCATCCCATAATGACAGCCCAAAGCTTAAAGGCAGAGCAAACACTAATCCTAATATTGAGTTTTTATTAGCACTACTAAATTACAACACAGTCCTAAATGTTAAAACACTCCTAGTTTTTTTACTATATAAAATCTATTGCCTAATAAGAAGCAGTTAGGTATGTTTTAGTTTTTATTTAATGACATTCTAAATCTAGAGAAGAGTCGTGTATTCAAGTGTTACTATAAACATATATTTAAATACAAACACCATAAGCAAAAACTGCTACAAAAACATCCAATATGTTATTCACCTTACTTTGTCCAATATTATCAGTCTGCATGGAAAAAAAAATACTTCATTACATTTGACGCCATGTCATAAAAAATACTCCCTACTTTGTTATTTAACTATCATTAAAAAGTATTATACTAATTCAGCTAATAGTAAAAGTAACATAGTGTAAACTACGTTCTTTAAATCTACCCTTAGTTATAGTCCACTCACGAAGTATAAAAAATTTCGTACTTTAAACCCTCGCATGAATATTATGTGTTTCGCTTGCACGGAGACAACGACCTTCTTTTTTTTACTTTTTGGTTTACAGAACTACTAGTCAAAGTGATAATACGTTTGTTTTTGTTCAACATAGTTACTTTTTAAAATTACCCTTTATACAAAATTTGTCACCACTGAGTTCAAGAGGTCATTGTACGAAATTCTTCATATTGCGAGCGACGAGCGGGGTACAGTGGTCTCAAATATCATCTTATATAGACATTTTCATATGATATTTTGTATGTATTTTTACATAATTAACATAATTTTAACAACGTTATTAACTCAAAACACTCAAGACATTGTCAGACAGACAAGTAGTCATAGGGACGGGATGTATATGCCGATAATCTAGTGTGGCGCCGATGCTTCAGCGCAGTACTGATTTTCTTCTTAACGTTTAAGAGAGGGAGGGAGAGGGGAGAGGGGGGGAGAGAGATAGAGAGAGAGAGAGAGTGTATGTAAGAGAACTGACCGGGGAGTCATCATTGGGCGTGAAGGGCACGGGCGTGGGTACTAGTGCGAAGGAGATGTGCGGGCAACCGAGCTGGCCGCGCGCGCCGTACCCGCACGCCAGCACGCGCTCGCCCACCACGCACAGCAGGTGCCGCCGCCCGCTCGCCACCTGCCGCACCGTGCTGCCCATCAGCTCCATCACCTGCAAACACTTCGACTTCACACAAACCCGCAACATTTCAAATTAAACCCAGTATGGGTGGTCAGTTCCAACTGAAAATGTTACTTAAACAAAATTTAAACTGTAAGTTTTTTGTTTATATACTACTAGATTTCGCTCGCGACTCCGTCCGCGTAGAATAAAAAAAAGTGAATACCCTATGTGTTCTTCCAGACTATCCTCTAAATTTGTACCAAATTTGATCTAAATCAGTTCAGCCGATTAGGCTACAAACTCTAAAAAAACAGCGTTTGTACCATTACTTTACTGCATTGGTTTACTTAATTGAAATATAAAGAAAAAACTTTAATTCAACAAGGAACCAATAATTAAAAAACAAAAAAAAAATGATTGTAACTCTTATATATATTTGGGAAGGTATGGGAAGCAAATATTATCCAGACTTAGCAGGAATAAATGTGAGAATTTATTGAAAGTTACAAATTATTGCATACATTAAATATGCTTTTCTTCAAATTTCTTAAGGGAAAATCCTTATGTACTACAGGCAAATAATTTAAGACTTTTGCATTTGCAGATGTGTTGCTTAGATTTAAAAATTAACAAAATTAGTACATTTAGTCTACCTTCTTTGGAACTAATTCATCTCTAGTTGTCCCGTGTCCAGTCTGACCGTACTCTCCGGAGCCGCACGTGAACACGCCTCCATCTAACGTCAGGAATGCTGTGAAATCTTCACCACACGATATATGACACACCTACAAAGAAAAACATACTTCATATATCTTTTGCCCGCAGAACTAAACTTCGTGCATACAGATTTAAAAAGATAACTTAGTAAGTAGTCTATTTATTTTTCTGGGTTATGTTCTGTTCTTTTTTCAGTATATTTAATTTGGTTTTGTATTTTGAATATGCAATTAGTTTATGTTTCCAATAAATAAATCACATTCTACATCTGTGCCAAATTACAACGAGGTCCGTTAAGTGTACATCCATCCTATTCGCATTTACTAATATTTAGTATTTAGTTTTTTCTATAAATCTTTTTTTAAATGACATGAGAATAGATAAAACATGTGTAACTTTGAATAAGTATCAATTTTACAATGTCAATTGTTTACATCTTTTCATACAATCTCATTATATGTATATACAATACGAAACAACAATAGCAGTCATGTCAAGGTTATTGGTAGAACGACAAAAGAACAACGTCACATACAGATACAACACAAATAGTAAAAATTTAAAATATCTAGTATAATTTATATATAATAAAAAATTGAGCCATGCACCATTTCTTCTAACAAAAAATTAATTTAATGCAAATACCAGTATAATATATTGCAAACCACAATAAAAGTATTATCTAAAATTTTATAAATATTATTACCTTAACGTTTCTCAATGTTTTCAAATGTGTAGGATAATATCTATTTTCTCTATCTTGCAGACCTAATTGTCCGTTGCTATTTTTACCCCAACCAAATACCGCACCTGATCTAGAAACAATAATTAATTTAGTCAAGTCAGGCTAGTTCTTAATAAAATGTATGTGATAAAAAAAAACTAAAAAAGAGGTTGCCATAACAGAATTGAAAGAACAAAGATTTCCTCCTTTACTAGTAATAATTTTCCTAACAATACTCATTTCTTTACTTATTAGTTTATTTTCATGGGAATTCCCTTTAAAGTAATAATTTAGCTGTTATGTATAGGAAAATTGGATTCACATTTAAAATAATGTAAAATCAATTGATTTCTATAAAAACATATTGTTTAACATAACATTTAAACCTTCAATTTGAAGTTAATAATTATTTATCATTAAAACAAAACTTACTTAGATAAAACAAATGTGTGGTTACTGCCGCAAGCCACCAGTGCTATAGGGACACCAAACAGTGATGTAATCTGCTGCGGTGTGGTTTCTTTGTTTGTCATATTTCCCAAGCCACATTGTCCATAACTATTCGCACCCCATGAATATAGATCGCCATCTAAAATATAAATAAATTGAAGTATTGAAAATTTAATTTTACTAATAATATAAATGTTAAAGTTTATGTTTATGTTTGTTAGAAATTATCTAACAAACTGCTCGACGAATCTTAATAAAATTTTGCACAGATGTAGAATATAGTATGTAAATTCACAGAAACTGCTGCTTTTTGTTTTTTTTTAACAAAATCCATGTATGCATGGAAATGTAACATTAGATTAATATATTGCCCCATCTAAATAGTTACATCTCTCAAGATATACTACGCATCAAATCTGTTATGGTATAAATGTTTTAATTTACCACAATAGATGTAGATGATTTGATCATTGCCACACTGCACAATACCCTCCCCAGTATCCTTTATATCCTGCTAAAACTAAAACTATGGCCTATGTCTTAAGCCAATAAGATATACAACTATGGTAACATACATTTTAAGTAGAACACTCTCTCTATACAAATATAAAAAAGTTAAGAATGTAGTATAAAAGGTCGGAATAAAATTTTACTCAACTAACTTACTATTTGTTAGAGCAATCGAGTGATATGATCCACAAGCAATCTGTATGACACTTTTCGCTGCAAGAAACTTAATAATTTTGGGTTTGTCTTGAGCATGAGCACCAAGATTGCTCCCCAGTTGTCCCATACTGTCCGAGCCCCAACTAAATGGTTGGCCCCATTCATCTAGGGCCATCGAGTGCTGAATGCCACATGCTACTGTTGATATTGTGCATCCTTTGAATGTTTCCACCAAATCTAAAATCATAAAACTTGGATAATCACACAGCCCTATTGTCACATCTAAATTTGTGATTTATTTACAAATTCCATAATCAGTGTCACCAACTCACCTTACTCTTAGTTTATTATGAAACATTTGTCTAAGTGTAGAACATATTAGTGTACTACATCAATTCAAAAAATCCAAGTCATCTTCATTTCAATAACATGTTATCATAGGTTGAAATTTAAAATGTTACTTAAAAAGCATACATTTTTAGTAAATATTATGTTCATCATTGTTACTAATACCTGGGGTTTCTCCATCACTGTTTTGTGTGTGACGTCCAAGTTGCCCTACATCATTGCTTCCACAGGAATACAAATGACCATTGTTTGTGAGATAGAGACTATGGAATTCTCCAGCAGCTACAACTTGTAAATGATTGCTTTCCTTCCATTTTGATAACGTCGGTTTTATAACCTAGACATATTCAATGCAGTAACAAAAATGATAATTTAATTATTGATATGTTAGTACTGTAGTAGTGAATGAAATTTCAGAACTGTAAAAGTATTTGTAAAACAGCAGTTCATAAATCATTTTTATTATTGTTTTGTTACTGACTGTAGCATAAACGTCATCCATAAATGTATTGTTTTACACCAAAAAATATTCACATAAAATTTTATTGATCTATTTATGAGGACTTACCAAATCTTTTATATCTGCACCATTTATATACAACTCATGATGAGTCGCATTACCCCAACAAAACATATTTATTCTTCGGATTTCACAAAGGCAAATTAAATGAATTAACTATTTATAAAGTAACCTATACAAATAGTATTGTGAAAGCATTGGAGATAAAATTGTGTTTATTGCGGAATTTATTGTCGACACGAAATAACTACCGGCGAATTTTCTGTAGCATTATACTGATTTTTCTATAATCAGCTATTGCCGAAAAGTAATGAATTCGGAATCGAGAACAATCTCAGTTTTTCAGATTTTCAGTCAGAACCCACCATAGAGTAGACCAGAGATTTATTTGTCTGTTTTGTGATAAGTTTGACAGTTTAATCAATAGGGATAGGGATGGGTAAATAAAACCAACTGTCTATAAGAGTATCAGTCAAAAACGGCGAAATTAAAATAGACACAAAGTATTGTAGTTAAAATGATTTTCATTTTGCCGATTTATAATTTATAGATAACTAGCTTTGCTCGCGACTTTGTCCATGTAAAATTAAGAGATAATATAAAATGACCTGTGTTACTTAGAGACACTGTAGCTTTTTAATGGTGTAATCCAGGCAGGCGAAACTATTTGACAATTGGTGAAATCGGGTCAGAAGTTTTTGAGTCATACTATCAATACAAACAAAAATACAAATCTCTCCTCTATATAACATTAGTATAGATAACATTTTATTTGTCACCGACATCTACCGGCTCAATTCTTAACTAACCATGACTTCCAAATTAACGAACGGGGCGATGTGAAGGGAGGTACGGGACGGGAAGGGACGTTGTTCGGCCATATTTGTTATTGTGCTCGATGAGACTTTATTTAGAAATTTGATTTCTGAATAGGAAACATTGCAGACTTTCAAGTTTGTAATGTATCTTTTTTCCTGGAAAATATTTTTCCAAAGTTGTTGTCTTGTTACATAAAACATTAAACTGATAAAGAAGTAGTATGCTTATTTAGTGATTGGCGATACCCCCTGTGGCAATTCGCTGCAGCCATCCGCGAGTATTATTTTAAAATAATCTTAGCAAATTAAGATAAAGTGGCGGGGACATCAAATAATGGAAAAGGGGGACGACCAACCGTCCGAGTTGACGTGGGGTCCCCCCTCCTGGACTGGGAAGAAGTTGACCATTTCAGCTTTGAAGATTCTGAACGTTTCGAAGAGGATTCCCTTTGTAGTTGGAGTTCAGAGCCCGAAAGTCTTTGTAACAATTGGCGCGGTTGGAAGCGACCAATTATAATACAACCCGTTTACGGCAATCGTACGAAAAGGTTTCTACAAGGTAATCCATACATCTGATCCTTTGTTTCTTTGTATCGTGATGAGAGAGAACATTTTACTTAAAAGTTTATTTAACTCTGTTTGATTTATTCGAACTTGTTATCATCAAAATCGCCGTCTTTCATGTTCAAGGATTGTTTTTATTTTCATCATGAGTTTTGGTGTCATATACGTTGGTAATACGCGAGTACATTATACATATGCAATGGCATAAAGAACAGGTGTCATGAAGTCATTTACCTTTGACTGGACCAAGCAGTTAATAATAATAGCTTTGCTTTCAAATCCCTGCCAATTGATGTAGTTTTTCTTTGTTCTATAGTTAAATGATTGTATAACAAATACCTTTTATGTATAAAGGTAAAAGGTCAGTGTTGTAGGTATAGCTTTAACAACTTTCTCTCAATATTATTTGATTGTTGCATCTTATTTAGTTGTTAAACTCTGATTTATCATATTAAGTGAATTTTTACAACATACCTGTGGTTTGAAAAACATGCAAACACTGAAATGAAAATACAATTATGTTTGTATAGTTATAGTAATATAGTAATGTTTTTATTTATATTGAAATAATTTGATATAATTATTTTGAACTATGATCTTTTGAACAGCAAATGGCTTAATTGTCCCTAAATGATTGTATTATGTAAAAAAACTGGTTTACAATTAAGTTTAAAAATATGTGTATGTTTTTTATGATACTAGCTTGCGCCCGCGACTATGTCTGCATGAAAAAAAATATTAGGTAGCCTGATTGTTCTTCTAGACTATCTTCTACATCTATGCCAAGTTTCATAGAGATCCATTCAGCTGTTAAGCCCAGAAACTCTTACAAACATAACTCTAAAAAAAAAAACATCTATTCATTAGTCTATCATTAGATTGCAATGCTGTTTTATAGAAAAAGCTGTGGCGTCTCTCGGAGAACTAGCTGCGAAATGCGTAGCATGCAACATACCATTTGAGTTAGTGGAACATGTATATCCACCGGTGCCTGAACAACTACAACTCCAAATTGCCTTCTGGAGTTTCCCTGACAGTGAGGATGATGTCCGGCTTTATTCCTGTCTTGCAAATGGATCTTCTGATGAGTTTCAGAGAGGCGAGCATCTTTTCAGAGACAGGGCTGTCAAAGATGTATTACAAATTGGTAAGTTTCATGTAATAAAATGCTATATGGTATCATAGCATAGTGTTTATTAATTTGGTAAAAAAGTTCAGTTGTTTATAAAATGGGTATTGATCTTGTATTGTTTTGTTTAATATTTCCCTAGAACAAGAATGATTATGGAGTGTACTCTCTTTTAGGCTTCCACTTATCAGCAACAGTGGTTCTTAACATGCCAAGAGCTCAATTCAATGTGGCTGTAACATTTGACAGACAAAGGATCTCCTCATGCAACTGTACTTGTGCATCATCAGCACATTGGTGTTCTCATATTGTTGCAGTATGTCTCTTCAGAATACATCTAGTGAGTATTTATAACATTTACATTTATAAATTACTTTCACTCTGTTACCCCCACTAGTATCATCTATTACACCCATACACATACATGCTTAAGAATCTTTTTATCACATGACTTGTAACATGTCCATATTAACCTTTTGTATCATCCACACCAACCTGCAGTTAATTCCTAATTAATGCTATCCCCACACATACATTCCAACATTTGCATGACTTTTATAGTGTTGTAATATAGTGGATAACAAATATTATTATTTAAAGCCAACGCAAGTATGCCTCAGAGCACCGGTGTCAGAATCATTACAAAGATTACGACGAGATCAACTCCAGAAATTCGCACAATACCTCATTTCGGAGTTGCCAAGACAAGTGTTGCCCACGGCTCAAAGAATACTGGATGAACTATTATCCGCTCAACCAAACCAGATTAATGCAACCTGCGGGGCTCCTGATCCTACAGCGGGAGCTTCAGCTTATGAATTTACCTCATGGTTCCTCGATGAAAGGACTTTGCACAATAATATCAACAAGATTTTAGTCAAGTTTTGTGTACCAGCTCCTATCGTATTCAGGTAAGTTTATATGAATGAACTTTTTCATGTTTATTGTTTTTGAAGCTTTTTTTAGGTAGTAACTATAAAATTAATTTGTTGGCTTTCAGTCACCAATATGTGATACATCAATACAAGTTTAATGGAACCTTTTAACATAGACAACATTTTTAGTTTTAAATTGATGTGTTTTAATTGTATGCATACCATTATACCGGAAACTGTGCTTTTGGCTTAGGATTTTCTAATTTAATAAATAATTTTTGGTTGACTCATTGATCAAAGTTCAATATGTAATATTATAATGCACTTAAATTTAGCCTTTAAATGTCAATGCTACATCTCCGAATTTGAATGTTATGAGTTTTTAAATTGTCATTATTCTCTGAATGTATTAAAACTTTGAACATATCTACAAAAGCAACTTTATAGATTATTATTTATTTTGCATTTGATGGTGAGAAAGTTAAAAGCTATAATTGACCCGTGGCTTCATTCCTTTCCAGTCTTTTTCTAGCTCAACTTCTGCCGGTGTACCCCTTCTTATAACAGCTCAAAAAAAATTATGACTAAGGGGCTTAATATGAATAAGAGGAGAAACTGATCAGTCAGAACTATGCATATAATATTTATAAATATGATATTAATATTACAGTGATGTGAATTACTTAAGCACTAGCGCCCCGCCCGCGGCAGCGGAATGGACGTCCCTCCTGCGACCGTTGAGAGGACGGGAGCCGGAGGGAATGTGGAACCTGCTCTCCATTGTCCGTGAGATGTTCAAA